GACCCTTCTGGATACTGGCACAAATGCGCGTCCTGAAAGAAGAACAGCCCTTGTGGCAAAAGAGCTGGCTAGGTATAACATCCACATAGTAGCTATTAGTGAGTCCCGGCTCCTAGACGAGGATCGACTCGGCTATATCTTCTTCTGGAAGGGTAAGCCTGCTACGGAGAGAAACCGCATTTATGGAGTTGGCTTTGCCATCCGCCAACGCATCCTACACGGGCTAACTGGAATGCCTGTCGGGATCAACTAGCGCCTCACGACGCTCCGAGTCACACTGAATCACTCACATCATGCCTTTTACACCAGTGCATATGCCCCAACACTGGATGCATAGGACGGCATCAAGGAGGCCTTTTATGCCGACCTCGACAGAGTGCTAACCTCTATCCCCAGAGAAAATACGGTTGTACTCGTAGGTGACTTCAATGTTAGAGTTGGCAGATATACTGACACTTGGCAGGGAATCAAAGGGAGAAATGGACTAGGCAAGTGTATTCTCAATGGCCTACTCCTCCTTTCCAAGTGTGCTGCACACAACCTCAGTCATCAATACCTTGTTTAGTCAGGCTTACAAGTTGAAGGGTTTGTGGCAACACCCACAACCCAAACACCAGCATCTCATTGACTATATTATTGTCAGAGAAAGAGATCGCCGAGATGTCCTCAACACCCGTGCCATGCGTGGCTCAGACCACTGTGACACTGATCATCTGCTCATCAGAGCCAAGCTCTCACTTCACTTCACGTCGCCCCAAAATGGCGAAGGCAACAAGCCTCCAGAATAGGTTTTAACACTTAAGCGTCTGGAGGATCCAGTGGTAGCACATGCTTTCAGAGAACAGCTCGAACATGGGCTGATAAACAACCCAACAACAAACAACCCAAATCCCAGTGTTGATTGCCGTATTCTCGACACTTATGACAAAAACCTGCAGAGACCCTCAGCCAGACCGATAGAATACACCAGGACTGGTTCGATGAAAATTACCCGGAAATCAATCTACTCGTCCATGATAAACGTGCTGCCTTAACTGACTGGCTGAATAACCCTCAGTCTCAGACCAAAGTTGATACCCTCCACAAGAAGAAAGCGACATCTAAGGAAAGACTGGTTTAAAAATAAAACTTGTGAAACACAAAAACTTGTAGATCAACACAAGATGCGCAAATCTTTCAATTCCACTAAAGCATTTTATGGGCCAATCACTCACGGCGGGCAACTGAAAAGGTATAAGGATAGTCTTAAGTCAAACCTGAGAAAGTGCCAAATGTGACCCTCTCACCTGGGAGACGATCACTCCACACCGTAATGCTTGGAGGATCACCACAAGAGAAATTGTCAATACTTTCGAGTTAACCCGACTGCAAACCGAGGCAGACAAGCGCCAGCGCCGGAAAGGCGCTGCTGCCGCCGCCCCTTCCGCACTAGATGTAGCCCCTCACATGTGCAACTTCTGTGGACGACTCTGCCGGTCCCGTATCGGCCTCTTCAGTCACCTCAGAGCTCACCAACCTACAGTAGGTCACATCATTAATAACTCATATCATTGTATCATAGCTGCATGATCGTCATACTCGATTCCGAGTGACAGCAAAGTAATAAGTAGTAGTAGTAGTGTGTGTGTGATAGTAGTAACGAATTACCCCCCATCAGTTAAGTCCACACACACACACACACACACACACACACACACACACACACACAAACGAGAATATATTTCGTATTTTTATAATTTAATCTTTTAAGATATGATTGTATTTTGGTCATCGTATTATTGTGTTTGTTACTAACGAAGGAATAAATTGCCATAAGTAACACATATTTCCTTATTTTTTTCTGGTGTACTTTGTTGTATTGTTGAATTTATTTTTATGATGGTGATTTAGGCCCTAAAATACACTATATTGTATAACGATAGATGTATAATAGATGAAGTATAAGACAAAATGAATAATAATTGTTTTCTTTTTGTTTCAGGTATGCAAGGTTACCATGGCGACCGGGGTAAGTGGGACCAATTGGAAACGCTTTTTTAGGTCGTCGATGGCTTTGTCCGCCAATAGGAGCGTAGCAGTTTCACCGGAATGACCAATGGGGGGAGGTTGATGGTTATGGTATCCGCCAATAGGAACATGGATCTTTGGTGATATTGATCATCATCATTACCAATCAGAGGACATCATGCTGTGGGTTAGTGTCCAATAGGAGACCGTTTTAGGGTATAGGTGATAAAATATCCACCAGTCAAAGCGCATCAACTGCGAATGATCATCCAATGGGAAACGGGTTTAGCTTTTGATGACAGTATCCACCAATCAGAGCACTTTACTCGTTAGTCCTCGACCAATGGGAAATAGTTGTGGGTTTCTGATGACGATGTCCGGTATGATAAGATTGCTTGATAATAATAATAATAATAACAAAGCAACAGTTACCAGGAAATACAATAATACACTGTTTTTATCATCGTGTTTTTTCTTCAAGTAATTTATTTCGGCCTCAAGTTTGTTGGGTGGTTCTCAAGTTTTGTAATAGATTTGTGTGTGTTTGTAATAGATTTGTGTGTGTGTGTGTGTGTGTGTGTGTGTGTGTGTGTGTGTGTGTGTGTGTGTGTGTGTGTTAGTCGTCAAGAATATGAAGAAAATAAACGCTCTAAGTTCCCCTAAAAACGTATGTTAACTTTCTTGCTGATAAGCTTAGTTAACAGCTTAAGCGTAACGTTGCTCTCTCTCTCTCTCTCTCTCTCTCTCTCTCTCTCTCTCTCTCTCTCTCTCGTAATATATCAACAGCTAAATATATAATTGTCTACCAGTTTACACGATCAAACGTAAATATGAACCCAAGTTGATTTTTTTACTAAAGATGTTTTGAAATTACTTTTTTAATTTATTTTTTTGATTTTTTTTTATGTACACAAACGCAAGTCAGCGTCCCAGAGTGATTTTATTTCATTTGTTTATCTTTTTATATTTGCTTCTTTGATTCATTTGTTTATTTTGAGTTTTTTTTTTGTTATTTGTTATTGGTGTTATATGTAGTGATGATGGGTGGTGTTATATGTAGTGATGATGGGTGGTGTTATATGTAGTGATGATGGGTTGTTATATGTTAGTGATGATGGATGGGTGTTATATGTAGTGATGATGGTTGATGTTTATGTAGTGATGATGGGTGGTGTTATATGTAGTGATGATGGGTGGTGTTATATATGTAGTTATGATGGATGGTGGTATATGTAGTGACGATGGGTGGTGTTATATGTAGTGATGATGGGTGGTGTTATATCTTAATGATGAATTGGTGTTATATGTAGTGATGATGGGTGGTATATGTAATGTGATGGATGGTGTTATATGTAGTGATGATGGGTGGTGTTATATGTAGTAATGATGGATGGTGTTATATGTAGTGATGATGGTTGATGTTTATGTAGTGACGATGGGTGGTGTTATATGTAGTAATGATGGATGGTGTTATATGTAGTGATGATGGTTGATGTTTATGTAGTGATGATGGTTGATGATGGTTGATGTTTATGTAGTGATGATGGGTGGTGTTATATGTAGTGATGATGGGTGGTGTTATATGTAGTAATGATGGATGGTGTTATATGTAGTGATGATGGGTGGTGTTATATGTAGTGATGATGGTTGATGTTTATGTAGTGATGATGGCTTGTGTTATTTTCCTCCTCCTCCTCCTCCTCCTCCTCCTCCTCGTGTTTTCTTTATCCTCCTCTTATTTATCTTCCTCTTCCACCACCACCTCTTCCTCCTCCTCTACTCCTTCTTCTTCTTCCAACGGATGATTAGTGGAAGGAGTCGTCTGCCTCTCCTCCTCCTCTTTCTCCTCCTCCTCTCCTCCGTCTTCCTTCTCCTCTCCTTCGTCTTCCTTCTCCTCCTCCCTCCTCCTCTCCTCTTTGTCTTCCTCCTCTCCTTCGTCTTCCTCCTCTCCTTCCTCTTCCTCCTCCTCTCCTTCGTGTTCCTCCTCCTCTCCTCCGTCTTCCTTCCTCTCATTCGCCTTCCTTCTCCTCTCCTCCGTCTTCCTTCTCCTCCTCTCTTCCTCCTCCTCCTCCTCTCCTTCTCTCCTTTCCTCTCCTCCTCCTCTCCTCCGTCTTCCTTCTCCTCTCCTTCGTCTTCCTTCTCCTCTCCTTCCGCCCTCTCCTCCTCTCCTTCCTCCTCCTCCTCTCCTCCATCTTCCTTCTCCTCCCCTCTCCTTCGTCTTCCTTCTCCTCCTCTCCTTCATTCTCCTCTCTCCTTCGCCTCCTCCCCTTCTTCGTGCCTGCGTCAGTGTCTTGGCAGTAAATTGTCATGTCATAAGCAGCCACGTGTGTGGAGCACCCACTTACCCACCACCCACCCCCACCCCACCCCACCCACCCAACCACCGTCCCACCCAACCCACACACACTCCCCTGCCCCACACACGCCCACACACTCAACAGCGGTCCATCAGCCCCACCCACCCACCACCCACCGACCCACCCCACCCCACCCACCGGCCACAACCACACGCCCCAACCACACACCCGCCCACACCCAACGACTGGATCCACCTGACTTATATAGACTGTTTGACTGTCGTTTCTACAGTTTAGTGGTATTTTAACTGTATGAATCGCTGTTAAAATATACTCGGGAGGGTTAATCTTCAGGTGGTAGTCCGAGCATTGACCCGAGAATGATGTAGAATGTGATGAACGATATATGTTAGTAATTTAATATCGGCTAGTAGAATGTTATTATTTTTGCCCTTGTAGTTGTGTTGTTGAAAGTTAATCATTCTATCACACGTGTTTTTGGTTTGGTGGTGAGGAGAGGAGGAAGGGTAGGAGAAGGAGGAGTAAGAGGGAGAGGGGGAGGAAGTGGGAGAGGGAGAGTGAGGGGGAGGAAGAGGAAAGAGAAGGAGGTGGAGGAAATGTGTGTTGGGTGGTAATAATTGGAGAAAGAAGAATAGAGGGAGGAAGAAGATGACGAAGAAGAAGAGGGAGGGAGGGTTATAAAGTATCTTGGGTGGTAGTAACTAAGAAGAAGAAGAAGAAGAAGAAGAAGAAGAATGTTGGCTGGAAATTAATCTCCTTGTCTGGACTGTGTGGTGACTGGACTCTGGACTGTGTGGTGTCTGGACTGTGGGGTGACTCTGGACTGTGTGGTGACTGGACTCTGGACTGTGTGGTGACTGGACTCTGGACTGTGGGGGGTGACTCTTGGACTGTGGTGACTGGACTCTGGACTGTGGGGTGACCTTGGACTGTGGTGGGACACTGGACTCTGGACTGTGGGTGACTCTGGACTGTGGTGACTGGACTCTGACCAAAGACTTCCTGACTGTGGTGACTGGACTCTGGACTGTGGGACTCTGGACTGTGGTGACTGGACTCTGGACTGTGGGTGACTTGACTGTGGTGACTGGACTCTGGACTGCGGGGTGACTCCTGACTGTGGTGGACTGGACTTGGACTGTGGGTGACTTGACTGTGGTGGCTAATTCTGGACCTTGGGGGTGACTCTCGACTCTGGACTGTGGTGACTGGACTCTGGGGTGACTCTGTACTGTGGATTGTGGTGACTGGACTCTGGACTGTGGGGTGACTCTGGACTGTGGACTGTGGTGACTGGACTCTGGACTGTGGGGTGACTCTGGACTGTGTGGTGACTGGACTGTGTGGTGATTGGACTGGGCTGTGTGGTGACTTGGGACTTGATGAAACCTCCGCCGACCACAGCAAGTCCGCCTCAGGCCAAGTCCGACCCCGCTTTAATTAGTGCCCTGGTTTGTCCCTCCTCCTCCTCCCTCACCCCCGTTTTGGAACCCATGACGCAACCCACACCCCTGAACCCATTATCCAACCCACACTCTTAAACCCATTATCCAACCCACACTCTTAAACCCAAGGCCAAGTGCACTCTGAACCCATGGCCAAGTGTACTCTGAACCCATGGCCAAGTGCACTTTAAACCCATGGTCAAGCCCACAACACAACAAAAGCCTGTATTTTGCCTCACAGTTCTGGAGATTGATGTCACTTTACGATAGATTCTCACAATAAACTGTCTGGTGACGTCATGCAGAGAGAGAGAGAGAGAGAGAGAGAAAGTAAGTAGTGTATCACCATCACATACACCACCACTATCACCACTACCTACACCACCACCACCTACACTACCACCATTGGATCGCAGGAAGAAAAACAAGGTAATAGTAAAGCATTATCTTGTCCCAAATTAGGATGGATTTTAACCACAATTAGGCTCAGCTGAGGTCATTAGTAGCGGGGTTAATTTAGGCAGTTTTTTGTGGCTAATGATGTTTATTTTACCTGGATTACCTGTAGACATTAGGGGGTGGTGGTGATAGTGTGTGTGTGTAATAATAATAATAATAATTAACGGTTTATTGAAAGAGCATAGCAACCAGAAGGCTGAAAATATACAGTTACATAATTGGGGAATGGGCTTCGATTTACAAATAATATACAAATAACATAAGTGATACAAATAAGACATATAATAACTAGATGGGGAAAAGCTCAAACTACAGGGCATTTCAACATAGTGACAGTGTAAGGAGCAGTGTTTACCGGGAGTGAATACACTGGTCTATTACAAGTTATTGATAATTTTTACAATGGTTGGGACTGGGCTGTTCTTATAGCGATCAGTTCGTGCACGTATGGGCTGGATGCGGTTGTGGTGTCGAACACCAATTCTCGGGCTAGGGATCTCAGGTGGTAGTAGGAGCCGGTGTCGAGGATGGTGCAGAAGCTTCTCACCAAATTTGCAGATGATGAGGTCGTGGTGATGGTCAGTGAGAGTCGAAAGGTCAGTGTGTTGAGCGCTTCTTGATATGTGGAGTAGGAAGGGGAGAGAATAATCTTGCCTGCCCTCTTTTGCATTTTTTAGGTGTTTACGTTGTGTGGCATTTAAGGGAGGAAGACCAGGTAGGGAGGCATGGTGAGCTTGGGAAGTATGAATGTTGAGTATTAAACACTGAGGCTCAGTGCAGGAACTCCGAGGGACTTGAGTCGGTGGAGGAGGTGGAGACGGAAACTGGAGGATTTGACAACTTCACTGACGTGTGGTTTCCAATTTAGTTTGTTGTCTATGGTGACGCCGAGGAGCTTCGTGGAATCTACAACCTGGAGTGTGTTCGGACCTAAAGTAATGGAAGGGGGTGGGACAACGTCGGAGGAGAGGTTGATGTGCATAACCATGGTCTTGGTATGGTTGATGGTGACGTGGTTGTTGGTGGCCCAGTTTTGGAGACTGTTCAATAAATCCTGAAGGGTGGTATAGTTGGGAGCAGAATTGTTGACGCTCATCCCAATGGTAGAATCGTCGACATATTTCCAGCGAGCAGGGGTTTCTCTTAGGACATCATTGATAAGCATAAGGAAGCATAGTGGTCCCATCTTGGTGCCTTGGGGGACGCCACAGGTGAGTGACTGAAAGGTGGAGACAGCCGATCGGAATCGTACAGCTTGACGTCGGTCACTGAGGAAGTCTGTAACCCATGGTTTAAGACTTCTTCGAAACCTGAGGTCGATAGCTTTGTTGATGATTAAATTGTGGTCGACTAGGTCGAATGCCTCAGTGAAGTCAATGAAGGCGACAGCTACAGACGTTTTTCGTTTCTCCAGATGGCGGTATATGTAGTCGAGAAAGCTGACAAGACATTGAGTGGTGGAGGAAGTTTTCATATTACCAAAGATTGCGACATACAGTCTTCCAGTCAGCTGGGCATCTGGCTTGACTGAGAGAAGCATTGATGATGGAGTAGAGGGGTTTAGCAAGCTCCTGGGAGAACTCCTTGAAGAGTTTCATTGGTAAGTCAATGGGGGTGGTAGAGCGTTTTAACTTCAGTTTGTCCAGACGTTTTGCTACTTCAAATTCTTCGACTAAGTCAGTGGGAAGGGGGGCTGGTAGGTAAGCAGGGAGAGTGGTTGTGTCAAGCCGGGGGAGCGTCTGGCATATAGTAGCGAAATGATTATTTGATTGCTCAGCTGCGTCAACATTAGTGAGATGGCTAAGGAAGGGGAGGGGGTGTGTCTTATTGTTTAGTCCACAGAGTTCTTTAAACACCATGCACACTGTGTGTGTGTGTGTGTGTGTGTGTGTGTGTGTGTGTGTGTGTGTGTGTGTGTGTGTGTGTGTGAAGTTCACCTTTGATCGCCGTTTTTCCTCTTCGTTCATATGCAAATTAGTCTTAATTTGCATACCTGTATTAAATATTTATTAAGAAACGTCAAGTGTCTACTGACTATATCCTGCCACCCACAGTGATAAACCAACCTAAAGTGCCAACCCACACACAGTGCCAATCCACCCACAGTGCCAACCCACCCACAGTGCCAAACCCACTCACCGTGCCAAACACACCCACACTCATACCAACCCACAGTGCCACAATAATACTGTGCCATACCACACCCACACAGTGCCTCACCTACCCACAAAGTGCCACAAGACTACAGTGCCACTCATTAGTCCCACACCACACACATACACACACACATCGCCACACTATACACCACACTCCACCACACTCACACCCATTCACACCACACACCGTGTCACACTATAGTTACACACACACACACACACACACACACACACACACACACACACACACACCCAAAGTCACACCACACACAGAGCCACACATAAAATTAATGGCTGAACATGTAAGTACAGTATACATATAAATTAACATTGACTTAGTGTGAAATAGATGTTAAATGAATGTTAATGTCATCACCTGGGGACTAATTACTTTATTTTACCTGTACTTTAATGAGAGTGACTTGACAGGTATATGACACCAGTAATGCAAAGAGAGAGAGAGAGAGAGAGAGAGAGAGAGATACTGCGTTTATATAGGTGTTCTCTGATCTTACTCTCCTCCCCACATCATGTTGTAAGGGGAAGGCTGGAATGGTATTAATAAACTCCTCCTTTTCCCCACCCCTCCCCCTCCTTTTCCTCCCCCTCCTTTCCCTCCTCAGCTGAGAAGGAGTTCCCCCCCTCTTGTGTTGACGTCACTTTCCTTTGGTATGACGTGTTACTTCCTCCTCCCTATCTGTTGTGACGTCCTCTGGGTGACTTCACTTAATTTGATGTCATTTCCATTATGGTCACTTTCAGTTTTGTCGTTGGTCTCCACGACATAAGATATAGAGAAATAATATAATATTTCTCACGTATTTCCACAACGATTTCTGCCTTATTTCCGTGGGTTTTTTTCTACTAGCTGTATAAGTTATGTTATTGGTCGGAAATTATCGCCTCAAGGAAGCCACCCACGCTGGAGGGTCGTCGTTACGGTAGTCATCAATTATCACCCAAGGAAATATTAATCATGGCTCAGGGAAATAATCATCGCCTTAAGATTAATGTAATAAAAAAATACCCAAAAAAAACACTATGGTAGTGCCAATTAACACCACCAATCTGCTGCTTCTAAGAAAATGAGGAGGGTGGAATTGCATCATGTTTTGGCGGATCTTTATTGTGTTTTTTGGTGTTTTTTTAGTGTTTTGTGTTTTTTTTAGTGTTTTGTTTTTGTTTTTGTGTGTGTTTTTTTTATTCCCTCGTAATTTACTGAACGAGGCTGTCATTATATGCGGCATTGTGACCGTAAAGATGACGTTAATCTTATTTTTTTATTCGTTGTGTTACGTTACGTGTTGGTTGTCACGAGGTGGTGGTAATTCGTCGAAAAATCAAGTCACCTTTGTGACTACTATCACCACCACCACCACTACTACCCTCTCTTCCTTCTATCCAACACCTTTCCCTTTCTATCCACCACCTCCCCCTTTTCCATCCCTATCCTACCCCCTTTCCACCTTCTCCATTCCTTCCACTATCGTCTACCCCTCCTTTCATCCCCCTTCACCTCCTCTTCCATCCCCTTCCACCTCTCTTCCATCCCCCATTCTACTCCCCCTTATTCCAATCCCCACCCCCTTTCACCCCCCCTTTCTACCCCCCCCCTTTCACCCCCTTTCTACCCCCCACTGCCCCTTTCTACCCCCCCTTTCCCCTTTCTACCCCATTCACCCCCTTTCTACCCCCATTCACCCCTTTCTACCCCCCATTCACCCCCCTTTCTACCTTTTCATCCCCTTTCTACCCCTTTTCACCCCTTTCTACCCCCATTCACCCCCTTTTCTACCCCCATTCAGCCCCATTCTACCCCCCATTTAGCCCTTACTACCCCTATCCATCCCTTTCATCCCTTCCACCCCCCTTTCCCAACCCAGACAATACTAAACAAAGCCCAATATAATACACAAACTTACACACGCTAAATATGTCTCAGAAAAATGTATACACACTTACCATGCATTACTGTGAGAAATCTGTATACATTTTTTTGAGACACCTTAATTGTATGCGGGTGTATACACTGTATTTCTAACAAGCAGATAAATAAATAAATGAATTAATACAAAAAAATAAATAATGGAAGTTATATATATATATTTTGTCTTGATAATAACCAAATCTCTTGTGGTGAAATTACTGTTTGTTTGTCATTACGGGGAAGTAGTGTGAGGAAAGAGGTAGATGTCTCAGGGGTTTATTAGACATGTAATTATACCTACTAAATCTGACGGTGGGTCCGAGGTGGTGATTGTGGTAGTGGTGGTAGTGGTAGTGGTGGGGGTAGTGGTAGTGGTGGTAGTGGTGGGGGTAGTGGTAGTGGTGGTAGTACTTGGAGTGTTAGTGGTGGTGATAGTAGTGATGTTAGTGGTTGTGGTGGTGATGATAGAGGTGGTGGTGATGGTAGAAGTGGTGGTGGTGGTGGTAATAGTAGTGGTAGTGATGATAGCGATAGTGGTGATGTTTGGTGGTGGTGGTGGTGTTGGTAGAATTGATGGTGAAATTGGTAGAGGTGGTGGTAATAGTAGTGGTAGTGATGATAGCGATAGTGGT